TCTGCCTAATGGCAAGGATAAGGAAGCACTGAAATAGGCTGCCTAAGGAGGGTGTGAAATCTACCTCAGTGGTAGGTTTTTAAGAATAAACTAGACACACATCTACTGGGAATAATTCTGACACAAGTCTGGCCTTTTGTCCATGGCCACGGTCAACTAAGTGATCAACTTCTTGAAATACCATCCAATCCCACTTTCTGTGATTTGTGCAACTTCTTGAGTAAACATAAGGAATAAGATTAATCTTTTATGTTATGATTTAGAAGTGTTGCTCACTTGCCATGTAGGTTCTTCAGTGACTGGACCTGTGTATAGGAGACAAAGAGGAGAAGTGGTCTTGAGCTTTGTCCACAATCGGCAAGGTTAATGCACTTAAAAACTGCAGTTTTTAAGTCCTGACTGGTGTGATTTTGAAGTGCTCCTTTTGGCACTGAAGAGCTCAAGTGTGCTTCATGAGCTATGCAGATACTATTTGGACTAGATTTGCTTGTGGCAAGGATATGTTCTGGCCTCCTTCAGACTATTTTAGGACTAATAAGAACAGTCCTGAACTACAGGTAGACTACTGTTACTGTGAAGTAGACTCTTCTTTCAAATTGATTTGTGTATAAATTCAGTGATTACCTATTTAGAAGGTAACCAGATCAGAAAACTTTTTTGGGAAGAACTGGTCCAAAAGCAGGGCAAAACTAGAATGCTTTGGTTTAAGATCTATGGAGGCAGTGAACCGTTTGTGCTGAAATATATGCCGTTCTGAGTCATTTGGGACCTGTTCAGTTCTCTAGAATGGACATATTCTACCTATAGTGTTTGTCTGTGCTACTTTAAAATGGGAAAAAAAAAAAAAAGCCAAACCAAAACAAAATAAAAAACACGTTCTTGGGAGCTCTACTTCCTCCACCCACCACTTGCAATCTTAGGATATGCAGCATGCACGAACCATTCTGAAGCAGGCAGACTGTGAAGAAGACAAGCACTTTTAATTCTTCTGGGAGATTCACAGGAACTAGAAGTTTGCCAAGGGTGAACACAAAGTTTGTCTACTTAAGAATCTATTTCAGGATAACTAGTCCAAGATTTGAAATGCAAGCTTTCTTTTTAAGTATGTTCTCTTGCGTATCTTCTGGGTAGAATTCCTTAATCCTGCCTGTGTCTCTCATCAACATTAGTAAGAAGGCCCAAAGCATTAACAAAGTATTCCAGTGACTAGGGGCAGGAGAAGAAATGTGTGTTTATGTATTTTTCATTCATGTGTGCTTGTAAAAAAAATCCAAATAAAACAAAACCCAAAAAAACCCACAAGTACTCCTCTTCTCTACATCAAGACTAATATGGGAAGGTGATAAAATTTCCAGCCTCTCTGACCACAAATACTTCTTTGACCTGACTTCTCTTACTGCCTCACTTTGATTTTGAATGTAGAAGTTTGACCCATAATGAACACTGAAGTGCTTGACTAATTAAGTCTTTTAAAATACAGTTCCTTTCTGAAAAGTAACTGTGGAATAGCATTGTATGATTCTTAGCTGGGTCGCACAAGCCTTTGCTCCTCAAATTGTCAGTCATGCAGTCCTAAACGGAATCAGCAAAACAAGATGTAAGTGAAGGTATTTCCACTTTGTAGATGTCAAACTTATTACTTCTACCACCATGAACTGAAAAATAACAAATTCAAGACTTTATGTGGGTCTTCCATTTCTAGAAAATCTGCCTGTGGAACCCTGGTGGCTAAGGTGTTTTCATGTGAAGCCATATATACAGGTTTCCTAGATGTGTAGGAAACCTGTTGCTCTTGGTATATGCTTTGTATCATGTCAAGAACATACTTTTGCCATACACAGTTATTCTCTTTTGGAGAGCGTTGTGGAATTATCACAAGTTTGTGTAGTGGGTTCAGTGATTTTTGAAAAGTGTTGAGTGGCTTCAGCTTCACATGTTGTAGAATCGGTGTACATATGCAATAAATCCACTGTAAATTTAAAGCATCTTAATTAATCTGCATTCACGGATCCACTGTGAACGAATGCTGTAGGCCCAAAGTTTCCTATAATTCTCAGGCTTGTAACTCGTGTTGCATAATGTGCATTCACTTTTGTGTGTGATGAATCATGGTTCCTTTCCACAGAGTGTAAAGCCTCTATATATTCACATTTTCTTTGCTGTCTCCCTGTGTATTTGTCCGTACATGTGTGCCTCCCTCCTTTCTTCCCTCTTGAAATAAGAGTCAGGTTTTGGTAGTGGAGATTGCATTTGGTGGTTTGCACCTCTCCTGGTTTCAGTCACGTAAATCTTGCCTTTTCTTGGATATATTTGCCTGTGACCTAACACTTCTTGCTGTCTTGTGTAAGGATGTAGAGACTGGTGAAGTGTCTTTCTGCCACAAATACTCCTCTGTGACTGGACATATTGGTAAGCCTTTTTCTTTCTGGTGGAACTGACCTCAAGTCAGGAGTATTTCTGGAATAGCTAAATTGGAGTTATGAGGGAACACGCTTCCAACCCAAGTAATACTATAATTTTATTAAACTTTTCTGTCTCGGTGGGGTACGAGAGGAATAAAACTGAAGCATGAAACAGGAGTGTAGAAGTTCTCAAAGGCAAGTATGTGCAAGACAATGTATAGATGGAGAAGGGATAGAATTTGATGAGTGTGGGGAGCATTTAAAAGCTCCTAAACTGTGGAACCTGTGCCACCACAAAGGCAAGCATAGTTCTCTGACTGCTATAATGTTGGATACTTGATAGTGGGGCCCTTTGTACCAAAGTCTCATGGAGATCTAGGTGTTGGGGAAGAGAGGTGGATTCAGTAGGAAGAGTTGGTTCTAAGCTGGAGGCAGAGAAGACAGGCACTAAGGTATAGGAACTCATGAAAAAGAAGGTAGTGGCAACTTGTAACGCTGTCAAAGACTCTTCTGCACAGGCTGCATTTTATCCCTCTCGTACCATCCTGTGTGTGTGCTGGAAACCACAGTTTGTTGTCTTTGGATATCTTCTTTATTTTTGTTCGTATCTGGACTAGGTGGGTAGCGGAAATGAATTGTAGGTTGCTGTTGAAGTGAGACACCTAGATGGCTGTGCTATCAGGTAGGAAGATGTGTAGACGTACTGCAGTGGTTTTGCAAATTGATTTGCTATGGTAACAATTAGCAACAGTATGTTATTATTGAATAATTATTGACTTGAAACATCTTTTACAGAAGTCTTGAAAGACAATAAATGTAGTCTGATAGACGCACCAGCCTTAAACGTTGCTTAAATTGTTTGCCAGGTAGTGGCAACTTTAAGACCTGGCTGTTGCCAGCTTTGAAAAGTAACTACTTTAAGTGTGACAATCACTTCTTGATTTTAGCGTTACTAACGTGGTTGCATGTTTCAGCAGTCGTATATTTCTGTGTCTCCTTGTTACTAGCTCATCTGCAATCACTAGGGTGCAATTACAACTTTCTCTCCTGTTTCTAGACAGAAAGCAATCTAAGCTCTCTATCAGTTTAGTTGACCATAAATTACTGTTTTTCTAGACCCATCACATTTGACTCTTATTCCCAGTAGTTATCAAATGCATCACAAATCTTTTTATTGTGTATTTTTGTTTGCTCTGTAAAGTACAAAATCAGGAGGAGGAATACACAATTAATTTTACGGAGCATGGGTAAGCTTAACATGCAGCTGTACTGTCTATCAAAGTGATTGTCGTAAAATCTGTTAAGAGACTTAAAGGCTGAGAGACTGTTAACTTAAAGGATGTTTGACATAACTCAGCTCATTGGGAAAACTTCTTAATACCATCATATGATGTGAAAAGTTTTAAGAAATCTGATTAACAGTAGTCATGAATTCTATTTATATATTTACCTCTTCTTGAAGTAAACTGCAGACCAATTAATTTCAGTTTACTTTTTTCTCTTGTTTCATATCTTTTTCCTTCTGGATAGCAGCTCAGAAGGCGCTGAGTTTATGTTTTCGATTGTGCAAAGCAGTAAAATGTTTTAACTGAAATCAGTACTTTTGACTTGGGATGCCCTTCTCTTTTGTTTGTTATTAAAGACAGATACCAGAAATATTTTGAGTGTGTCTTGAAGATGCTTTATTCAGACTTTTGCAGGCACTCAAAATTGATGTTGAGAGTGCTTTCCAATACAATAGTATCTTGAATTTTTTTCTCTTCCTGGTAAACAACAGTTTAATGCAATTAAAGCGTGGACAGTGTCTAATATTTGTTTTAGATCTGACTGTTTACCAGAGGAGGAGGCACTTATTTGTGCACAGAGCTCTGAACTGAGACCTGCACCTAGGCAAGCCATTAGAAGTACTGCAACCTGTAAAGCAGGGGAGAGTTGAACTTCTTTTCCGCAGTTATTCTCTTTGTCCGGAGTTCATCTCAGAAATGGCTGTCTCAACCTTTACAGATCTAGAAGCATGACATGACTCTGCATGCTGGAGACTTCTGAATGCTCCAGTAAAATCTTTTTATGGCCATATGTCGGTCCTGTAGCCAATGTATGCTATGAAGGCTTTGCAAAGACTGCTTAGAGGAGATACCGTTGTTGGTGTAAGGGGAGAAACATTCCTGTTTCATGAATAACATAAGTGATGCAACAAGGAGTTGGTGTAGAAGCATTTTGCCAACATGGATATGTTATTTTGGCATGTAGTTCATCTACAGCTCGCCACAGAATTTTACATGCTAGTAAAATTCTGAGTCTCCAGGTTGCTATAGATTGTCACTATGTGTTGGCAGAATGGCAGCCGTTTAATCCAAACTTCTTCTGCTGGTTCCTCTGTTTTCATTAATATTAATTGAATACCTGACTGCATGGCATCTTAATGTAAATGTGTGTCTATATATGTAAACACTTATGAGGTATAAATTTTTTTATGCTAACTAGGGTTTCAGCAAAGCCTTTTATGAATAACTGCAGAGTTAAATAACTTGTCAGTCATCAGTTTACATATGGCTCAGGCAGTAATGCACACTTCCTTTCTTTCTTCTAGGGGGGGATGACCGCCGGGTCTTACTTTGGCATATGGAAGAAGCCATCCACTCAAGAGTTAAACCAGTTCAGCTGAAAGGGGAGCATCACTCTAATATCTTCTGCCTAGCTTTCAACAGTGGCAATACGAAAGTGTTCTCTGGAGGTAAGGAAAGAAGAGCACCCTCATTTCACAGGAGTTTGCATTGTGAATGCCTTAGAGTAGAAGCCATGAACGAGATCCTGCCCCACATGAAAGATCTTTTCCGTAGTCGCTGAAGGATCTGGAAGGTGTCCTTAATTAGCAGCTAAAGGTTCTTTGGGAACAGGGAATTCTTTAGCTAGCACGACATTTTCAGTTTTGTTGTGCTTCTCCTTTTCCCAAGCCCTGGTGTAAGTGCAACATGTCTTGAACTGTCCTGAGAATCCTAGGTCCAGTCTGCCCCTACTTGTGCTACAGAGCGTGGAATATGGTCTTTGGTATTCCCGCTTAGCTGTACTGAGAGCAGACACTGTGTCCTCTCTGCCACTCAAGCCTGATGCTTGAAAATCTCTGCTGCTGCTAGCTGATTTTAATGCACCCTTAGATGGCTGATGAAGGGCTATTGCCATCTATTGGTGTATCACTTTTTCTCAGACCTCATTTTAGTCCTCACTAGACAAGTGTCTGCCTTTTAGAAGTGTTGGCACATCGGGCTCTAATTGGCATTGATATTCTTCATCTTTTTTAAATAGAAGTCCACTTTTTAACACAAAGTTTAATTCAGTCTTAAAACCAACATAAGGAAAGTGGACATGTACTTGTTCTGAGGTAATAATTCCTAGAATTTAGGTTCATTTCATTACTTGATTTTTGAAGTGTTGAGGTAGAGAGGAAAATTGAATTGAAAAGAAAAAGGCACAGGACTGTCAAAATGCAGTCAGTGTCATTTTCTGCTCTACTTCATTTCCTCTTCCTAATATAATAGAAGAATGGACAAGGATTTGTATCTTTCATCAATATGTCCATTAAACATACAACTAGACTTCTTTTAGGATTTATGAGACTACTTGGTCAGTGCCCTTCATTACCTTTTTGAACCAAGATTTTTGAACTGCAAATCGACACTATAAATTGATTCTAAGTGATTGTGAACGGTGGAAGCATCCCATCCTTCAACGCCATATAATGTCCCTTAGAAAAAAAGACATGGCAAAGCTTAAAATGGTGTCAAATTTTAAGGATGAAATGATTCAGATATACTTTTCAGGTAGAGAAAATGGCCAAAATGTCGAATAGTGATGCCTGTCTTCTGATTCTTGAGACTGCTGTTTGTTTTATGAGGAAGACAGAAGTCCACACTGTCTTTAAATGAATGTATCTGCAGGAGTGATTCCAATGAAACTTTGGGCTGGAGTCTGCTTTATTATAGTTTGAATTGAGACAAATGGAACCTTACATGAATATTCAAGAAATGCACTGTTCCAAATCTTGCTGGAGCAGCTGTAATGGTATTTTCTCATTTCCAACTGAGCCTTCTGTCCATTGGGCCCTGCTGTCAGAGGCTACTGTTTTCACAGGAAGGGCGGCAGAATGGTTTGACTGTACCTTGCCGTGTCAGTGAACACCTGCAGTTAAAGATTTACGTCATTGATTATAGTGGATTTTTGCTAAGATGCCAGGTTAGATGAGCTGTGACAGCTGATGCACAGACAAACTGGCTGTTCTCATCTCTTTTTCCTCCTCCAGTTTGCATAAACATACTGTGCCTCTGCCAGAAATTATTTCCATTGGAGGAGTCAGGAACTCTTTCAGCTGCTCCACCAAGATTCACAGAGCTCATCTGCAAGGGCTGTGAGTCTGACTCTTGGATCCCTTGTAAAGAGTCGTTTTGCTGCATGGCCTAGATGTACCATCTGTTTTATCTCTGTCAGTAAAATGGGGCTAACTATATTTATTCACTCAACAGTGTTCTGAGAGATTCTTAAAAGTTTTGAAAGAATTGTGGGTCCTAAGATCCCTCCTCAATACTGAAGTTGGAGTTGTATTCAAATCATGGAAGTTGAAATACTTAAAAAAAAACCCCTAAAAATTAGAGTATGGAAACTAGCACCAGGCCCGCAGAACTCAATTCATTCTGTAAATAAAGCTGCCAATGACTAATGACTTATGATCTGATGACCTTTCCCTAAAGCAGCTCTTGATAGCAGAGGAGAAAGGATTTTCCACTTCAGTACAAATTGAATTGCATCCAAGGAATTTCAAAGCTCTTTGCTTTGAAGGAGCGCATGTCTAGCATGCACCACATGTAGCCATTACAAAATGGAAGGCAGGAACTGAATGGATAGTATTTTGCATGTAATCTCTGGAGAAAAAACTGTCTCAAGATACCAAAGAAGTTTGTATCCCTGAAGAATACTATTGCCCTTCTCTGTCCACACGCACTGAGAGTAGAGCAGCATTTGAAATGAAAGATCCCCTCTTAGTAAACTGCATGGAATTTTTTTTTTCTTTTCATGTTAGGTATACGAAAAGCTGAAATAAACCTGCAGGGAACTGCGTTGGTTTCTCTAGAGGCCTGATGTGACAGATACAGGGTTTAGGCACCCTTAACTGTGCTCCTCTATGTGTGCTCTGCAGTATTTCATACTCACAAGTATAACTGAAGGGAATGGCAGATACTTCTCGTCTTTTTGATCATCATAACTTCAGTTACCAAAAGAAGAAAGATTATAAATGGGAGAGTTGGATATACAATTACAACCCAATTGTTCTCAATGAAGAATGAACTCTCCTGTGTTAAACACTGTAAGTGGGAACCCTGCTGGGATGAACAGCAGTGACGTTTTCTGCAGGGATGAATCCTTACCAAAAGTGACCAAGCAATTTGTGGTTAGATTTTTGTCACCACCTTCTCCTCTTATACATGAAACAGAGAGAAGCAGTGGTTGTTCCACACTCCCCTTTCTTTCGTTCTTTCTTTCACATTTTGGAGCTTGTGATGGAAGGGAAGGTTGATCCCATGATGACTAGAGGCGTGAAGCCAGGCATCTACAATGGTTCTTGTATTCACGCTATATGGAGGGTGAGGAGCAGGAGTGTCTGCTGGCGGAAATTTTGTCACTGAAGAAACCAGGCTACTGGTGAAATACGTAGACACTTGAGTAGTTTTCCTAGGTATAAACCGTGCCTGTGATGTATAATGGACAGTTTCCATTGCAATTAATGGTCACAGGACACTTACAAGTAATTGATTTGGTTATTGTACCACAGGAAAGATAAGGTACTGCAGTAATCTACGACTGGCATGATTTAACTAGGAGCCTGTGCAAAGAGCAAGTGGATGTAGAAAAATCTCACACCTCATTAGTCAAAGAGAAGCTTTCTCATATTTCTTCTGTTGAGACACGCAAATTAAAATGTGTACGGGATAAATGAAAACTGAATCATCTGAACGCTTAATAATCACAACATGAAATCTTGCTCCTTCTGAATCTCTGGCTTTTGCGTACATTAGGAAGCCTTCACAACTTGGTATTGTGACTACAAAGACATACTGAGCATAAAAATATGACTGTGGGCTTCCTGTTTGTTTTTTTTTCTTCTGAATTAAATATAACTATGTCTCCTTAAATATTTCTAAAGAGGAGGTGCCACGTTAGATAAATTAATATTCATTGCAGAGACTAAAAGAATATTCTGTTGCTATAGCTTGAAAAACACTTCATGAGCCAGTGGAACTACTCTGTAGCTGTGACCCTTTTAGTCTGCATGCATGTGGTTAGTTTGCATTGTATTCAGTTTGATCAAAGAAAAGTAACATGATTGTCTTGTTTGGTTTGGTTTGGATTTTGTTAATACAAAAGAAATTACACTGGCTGTCACGTTCATGCTTTCTCAGTGATTGCAAAACCCTGAACGCTGACAGTGTGAACTGGCGGCATTTAAACTGGGAGCCCGTTGCGTTTTGCTTGTGGCATCTCTTTTCACCCTCCATTGTCTTCTTATAGAGCGTCCTCTGAGCAGGAAGAAAGGTGTATTCACATGAGAGTTAAAGGTGTTCTGCTGCTTCATATGATATTCTTCTCTTTAGGGCAAGCGTCCCAAAACTCAAGCTTCCTTTGTTAAGAACAATCAATAACACAGTTAAGAAGAAGCATTTGTTGAGCCGTAGCAGATGGAATGGATTCGTGCATTTGATCATGACTGGAAATGTCACATGGAGCCTTTCACATAACTGAGCAGAGGGCTGACCACTTGGCAACTGAACTGGTCTCTATGCTTCAGTTTTGTTTTCAAAATAGAAAATTAAAAACCCCCACATTTATTGTTGTGGTTGTTTTTTCTTTTCACAATAATGCTTTTTAACTGCTGGAACATGATGTTAAGTGTTTATATTTCTCTTTACAGGCAATGATGAGCAAGTTATACTCCACGATGTTGAAAGGTAAATACACAGTTTGTGTTTCCACTGCTTCAAGAGTTCCCTTAATGTCAACTCACTGGAGGCACTTTTTGTTTTAAATTAATGGTCTGAGAGAAGAGCACAAAACATGCTTTTTGTTTATCTAAATTCATATCTGGAATGAAGTATTCCCCATTACCCCATTTTTTTTCAGCACTTGGGTTCTGCATCGTTTTGACCTTGGGAAAGAGAACGGTTATTAAATACATATGCTCTCCTGCAGGCAGCATAATAGATCCTGAGTAGATTCAGAGCCAGATTGTTCTGGTACATATACACGCGTTGTGGCACATACAGGCTTTTTGTTTTGTATTTTAAAACACTCACCTGGCTTGTATTTAAGATCACTAGTGCTTGGCCTACCTAACTACCTTTTAAAACCTTGAGTGCAGCTCTGCCTGATTCTCCATGCTAATGTGAAGCACACTTATTCTGATACCTTTTACCAAAACTGCAAAGCAGTGGGAATTAGGCTTTGTTGTGCTACATCAAGATTAGACTGTTAGTCAAAATATAATTAACACAGTAGAGGTAATATATTAGATTGGTATTCTCTAGATATAATGTCTTTTGAGCTTACTGTTTTTGAAGTAGAACAAGTATAGAGTTAAAATTCTGTCTGTACTAATAACTTCTACGGATTTACGCAATGGCTGTTTAAATAACATGAACTCAAAAAACCAAGCATAAGGAAAAATCAAGGAGACATATATGTAAGAACTGAGAAATATAAAACCTTAAATCTTTTGAGTTGCCTGAATCTGGTTAACATAATTTGGGCGTATTTCTTACTAGGTTTGCCCAAAGCCTTTTGCATTGAACTGGTTGGTTTACAGCTGCCTTCCATCGTACCTTATATCTGCTTCTTGTATAAATCTTACATGAGAGCTGGGCAAAAGTAAATTTATCTTACTCCTCTAGGTTTTTTTTCTGATTTTTCAATATATTGTTTGGTTTTTGTTTTTTTTTTTTTTTGTTTGGTTTGACTTTTTGGGATTTTGGAGATGTGTGGATTTCATACATTAGTTTGAGGGGGTGGGTTTTTTGGGAGAGTTTTTTGTTCGATGCTTTGGTTTTTTTGTTGTTTTTTAGTTAAATGTGAAAATGTCAAAATTTTAGATGCTGGTGTTCATTGTGTTCTGACTTTTCAAGCTTCTACAAGATCTCAGTCCTTGACACTTTTCTATATAACACATTTTTTCTTGCTATGTTTTGCTTAGATGTTTTAACAAGTCTTTTTGATATGTATGTATTTGTAAGGTGCTTTTGTTATCAGGGTGGGGTTTTTTAGGTGTGCTAAGTCCAGTTGTAATCCACACAGAATTCATTCCTCTAAGGCTATTTGTGTGATCTTCTGAAAGAAGCCTTACTAGTCTGACACACTGAATTCTGATTGATTTCTATGGAAAGTTCCTCTGTCTTCTTGAATGGTAACGCTTGGTCTATCAACTAATTTTTTTTCATGCTTTTAAATGGCTTTTTCTGTTACTGGTGGGGTTTTTTTGGCCTTTCTGTTAAAGGTCCATGAGACAGAGTTAGTACATCTGTCACTAAGAACATCAATTGTCATGCGAGCAAACCACTGATTTTCACTTGAGATCTCTTTGGTGGAGTTTCCATGAGGTGTAGGAGTTAGATACAAAGTGTATTCTCTAAAGAAATAAAAGAGTTTTGCCAAAGAAATAAACAACCCCAGAATGTTCTGTCTTAGTATTTCAGCTTTTGGCCTCTCCTTGCCACTGTTTCCTCCTTTTTAATTGATCTAAAATGTTGGGAAAAGAGAGGAGAATGGATATTTTCTTTTTTATAGCTGCTAAATGGCTGAAATCTAGGTACTTTCAGGGAACTTGTTTTTATTTTGCTCTTTTTTGCTACTTTTTCTACATCGAAAGAATATTGGTCTGGTCTATCCTGGAGAACCAAGAAAACTTAGTAAAAAAGCCAGCTGGAAAGTTGCTCTTTTGTGAGCTTCAACTGGACTTCTGGATGATACAAAAGCCTGTATTAAAGAATGAACTTCTGCGGTGTTTTACTTTTTACATTAAGTAGTAAAAATTTAGTCCACAGGACCCAAGACCTTTTTCCCTTTCCCATTACCTCCTCCCAAACTTAATCAATACAACATGATTTCTATCTTGCAGTATCTGAAGTTTTTCATGTGTGGGTTTTGGTCTGAGGGTTTTTTCCTCATAGCATGACATCTTGGTCACTCTACATGGGCTTTTGTTTGTTTTTTACTCTAATTAAACACAAGGGTCTTATGAAGTTACATAAACCTTGTCACTAAGTATTACTAAGTAGATAAAGCTGTAAATACTTTGCTTTTTAAAAAAACAGCAGAAGAAGCAAAATTATAATATTATGTGTCTTTTTGCTAGCACTGAGACCTTGGATGTGTTTGCCCATGAAGATGCAGTGTACGGCCTTTCAGTGAGCCCGGTAAATGACAACATCTTTGCCAGTTCATCAGATGATGGTCGGGTTCTTATCTGGGACATCCGAGAGTCTTCCCATGGAGGTGAGATCTCTAGATGGAAAAGATAATTGATTTAGGAAGAATCTGGGCAAGTCAGGGAAGGGAAAATTTATCTGGGACAATCAAGACAGTGAGTGTTGGACAAGGGTGATAGTGAGGCATAATTCTTGTGGCCAGTGATAGGCAAGCCTTGGTCTTTACCATTCAGTGCTACAGCCTGGGATAAAAAATTTTGGACGTTTAGAAAGCTGTTATTTTGATGTGAATAATTTTCCAAAGCTATTTATATATGTCTCTGTGACACTGAGAATTGTTCTTATGCATAATGTCTTCTGGTTGTATGGAAACATGAGCCCTTATGTGATAACAGGAAAGTTGGATTACTGCTTCAATCTTTGTTTTCTTAAACAGAACTAAATACTGTTGATTCATGTGACAAACCTGCAGTTTCTCAAAACACTGCAATCTGTGTTTTTACAGCTGTAGTTTTAAGGATGAAGAATCTCAGTTTAGAACTGTAGTTAAAACAATTTGGAGAGGAATACTTCAGTAATTGAATTTCAGTATATGAATACTTAAGTAATACTTCAGTAAATGAAGTTGTAAGCTTAGCTCATCCTAAGGAACACAAAGCTGAGAATTTAAAACTGAACAATCTGCAGGAGTACAGATTCTGGTTCCCTTCCTTCATAGCGAAAATAAACTTCCTTTTTTTTTTTTTGTAAGCTCATTAAATGCAATTGCCTCGACTCATGGTTTCTATGGGTCTTACAGGAAAGTTGTTTATGGCACTGAAATCCAGCTTATGTATTTTATGGCAATTTGTACAGATTTGGTTTTGGGTCAAAGTTGCTGTTTAACTGAATTAGGTTTTTCCAGACCTAGTGAATTTGATAACTTTTCTAGACTGCAATTCTGTCCTTTTTTGACTAGGAAATGAAAGCTGAAATAAGACATACTTAATAGTCTCATAGGAGTCTTTTAGAGCCACTAGTATCATGAGGGATTTATTGAACATGAATAACCAGAGTTAGATCTTTCTTGATAAGCCCCACCAGAGTACCTGGAGTAGATTGCTTATTGATGCCCTCCCTACCCAGGCATATTGCTTTTGTAAAAAATAAAAAAAAAAAATATACTAGCACTGCATTCAATTTTCAGTAGTCTGATTCTTACTGTGAATTCTAATTCTCTTTTGGAATTGTGATACCAGATGGGAAAGAGATAAGGGGTAATTTTATTAAAACATTCTGAAAAACAATGCACACAGTATATCACAAACTTGAATAAAAATATTTATAATGTCTCTTCTCTGTTTTTGAGGAACTCAGTAATAACCTCTGTCTTGCTCAGAAGTCCCTTACTGTTACAGTGAACTGTTGTTTTCCCTTCAGCCAGTTTCTTACCCCATGCAACTCCCTTTGCTTAGCCCAGCTGCCTGTCGCTAAACTTGATACTACACAACACGTGAATTTAGTCCTCATTAGATCTACCAATTTCCCTGTATAAAAGGTCAGTTACTTTACCAAAGAAGGAGATCAGATTGGTCTGATGTGACTAATTTACCTTTGGTAAATCCAAGTGTCACTTTCTCTCTGTTTTTCTGTTTTCATAATGTCCAAGTGATCAGACCAGACACTGAATATGGCTTCCAAATTAGAAATAGTGAAATGCTCCTTTATTGCCTTCTCCTGAACTCTACACCCTAAAAATCTCTGTCTCTGTTAGGAGAGCTACCTGTTGCTGATGGTTAATGTCAACAGTCGATGGGACTGGATGCTTAAATGCATCTGTATGAAGCTGCTCCGTATCATAAGCTAGTGTCCAATCTGATCTGAGTTTCTGAAATTGTATGAAATAAGGTTTGTCCTTCTTTGTTGTAGTTAAACCTTGCTACTGCTTTTACTGTTGCTGAGACCTTGAATGAGAAGGCTGCACCAGTGAAAATGAAGTGTTGGCTGTTGTACATTTGAGGCTTTTTTCGAGTAGTGTCTTAGGTTCTCTGAATTTTAAACAAAGGGCTTTTGCATGCTTATATAGGAGCCCTGAGTCAGCATTTATATGTGAGCCCTGCCAATGTTTACTACAATACAATGCTTCTCACTGGAGTAATACTCTTGTCTGCAATGGTATTGTCATGGGAATATACGCTCTGCCTGCCAGCATTAAGTATAGTTAGTTACCATGAATGGCCAGCTCATTAAAATCTTGCAAATAATCTCCTAGTTTTAAATAGTGCATGAAAAGAAGCTGGAAAAGGAGTTTCATTCCCCTTCTGTTTCTCCCTGTCTCTCACTGCTGAGTGATTTATGCAGTGATTTTTATAAACCCACTTCTAATTTTTGTTAGAGAAGGTGTTGAGCTTCTCCCTTGAGAAAGATTGTCATACTCCAGTGTGTAAGAGCTACAATTGTGAATAAGCATAAAGAACAATAAAAAAATATTCCCTCTACTTTCCATTAAAGTGACTTAGTGCCTCATTAGTTTAGCTCCTGTAACCTCTCTTTAATTTGACAGGTTGAAAGGCAACTTTTGATATCTTAGAAGAAAACTGTGGTGCAAGGCCAGGCTATTTATTATAAAGAGGTGAAGGAAAACACCAGTAATTAGTGACAATGATTTGAGTATACAAACATACACAAATTAAAAGTTTATTTTAAAAAACCAGCTTCTTTATTTCGCAATCTGATGTTGTTTGTCTCTTCACTCAGCTTATGCAGGCCATCACTTCTTGGTGTGGGCTGCCATTTTAGTAACACAGCCTTCTGTGTCCCAGCAGGGATCTGATTTGATGATGCAGACGTAGAAGGTCAGTTTTGGAGTTAAACCTTATTTGGAGCTGCTAGCAGACCAACAGCAATCTGTAAAGCTTTGGGGCAGGCTGGCAGAACAAAAGTTTGCTTCTGTTCTTCCCTTTACCTCTGCCTCCTATGACAATTATAATATTACTGGGGAGCTTCAGCCATGGCCAGAGACCTGCGTTTTGATCACTGCTAAATGAATTCTAAAAAGGAAAGCTCCTGTGTCAAAAAGCTTGTAATAGAGCATAAGAGGAGGATACAGATGGGGCAGGACAAGTAAACATTAATTTGGTCTCAGTTGCTTGAAGGGTGGTAGTTTCAGAAGGTATTAAAAATTTGAGAGGGTTATCTGTTTAACCGTGTTTTATATGTCTTAATGAGGGATACGAGGAAAGAAAGCGAAGTACCTTGGAAGGTACTTGTGGGGCTAAAGGTGCCTGCACACAGTGGCTCAAATAAGGGCAGTAAGAGAATTCCCCAAGCATGTGAGCAGCACAGTGGTTGCATCAAAGCAAACAGTGAGTTTGGCATAATCCCTGACTCAAAATAGGCATTGATTCTGATTTCTTAGTTGAGTGAAAGAGTGGCAGTGTGCCACGAAGATACATACAACAAAGAGAATTAGACTGCCTAAAGCCATAAAGCTAGCAGAAAGATGCAGAGGATGATGACAGAATCAAGGATTTTTCCCAGTGTTCATGGCGGCAGCATTTTGACAGAGTGAATAGGGCAGAGTAGCAGGCCAAATGCAGTCTTGTTACACTAATCAAGAAGAGAGAGAGTCTGGATGAGCATGTTTCTAACTCTGTGTGTGAGCAGCAAAAGCCAACTGTTAACATTTTTATGCAAGAGGAACACCCTTCTTGTCTACTTGTACAGCACTTCAGAGGTGGCAGGCCTCTTTTTCCCCAAGGTTGGCAGCTACCTTTGAGCTGAGTTCCATACAAACTTATTTCACTTTTTGTGTTATTATTCTCACATATAAGCAATTGCTGCTATGTTTACGGTTTGGGTGATCATCAATGGCTGTGGAAGCTTCCAGGCATGTATTGAAGGAAGCTTTAAAAAGCCTCTCCATGTGTAGTACTTATTAGATGACCATTTGGTCATGAACCTTAAGAAGGTTCAGATACTTTAAGTGGCTAGTTTTAAACTCTCATAACCTTCCATACACAGATGGTGTCTTGAAATCCAGTATGTGTCCTTTTCCATATTTAGACAAAGTTAATGTACACGTGGGTGGATTTTAAAACCTCAGTTTTTATATTGCTTTGGATGTGTCAGCTTGAGAAATGGTTTGAACATGTCTCCATATCTTCAGATCTTGTTACACTGTTTCCATATGAAGCTGCCAGACTCATTGCATCAAATGGTTGTATGCATTGTTTGTTCTTATGTCTGAAATCTCAATTTTTTCAACAGAGCCCTTCTGCTTGGCACACTACCCATCAGCCTTTCACAGTGTGATGTTTAATCCGGTAGAACCCAGATTACTGGCTACTGCCAACTCTAAGGAAGGTGTAGGACTCTGGGATATTCGTAAACCTCAGAGGTAAGATCTGGCTGCCCTTGTCTTAATGCTGTGGTATTTCTTTCTCTTGAGAGGTGATGGCATGCCACTGTCTCTTATTTTTTTTAATATATTTTTAAAGTCAGAATACACAATGGTAAGAAAAGATGCAGAACGAAGTTAACAGCAGTGTTAGTAATGCTGAATTAAATTGTTTTGCTTAATTAACATTCTTCTTTACACAAACGATCCAATTTAATTTAAAATGGGGCTAGATCTTCAATGTGAAGGTGAGTGATTTTTTGGAAACCTGCCTGCCATCACCACTGCAGATTAACTGGGATCGTTGTGTCAAGTTTGCATCATTATATTTAGCACTGGCTTGCTAATACTGGAAGAAGCAATGATGGGCACTGCCTGGTTTACAGTTTGTTTTTTCTACCCATCTCGGTGTTCATAGAATCATAGAATTGCATAGGCTGGAAGGGACCTCAGAGATCATCTAATCCAACCTCCCTGTCATGGGCAGGGACGCCTCTCAACTAGACCAGGCTACTCAAGGCTCCCTCCAACCTGGCCTTGAACACCTCCAGGGAGGGGGCATCCACAACTTCTCTGGGCAATTTATTCCCAAGTCTTACCACCCTCATACTGAAGAATTTCTTCCTAAAATCTAATCTAAATCTGTTCTCCTTCAATTTAAACCCATTTCCTCTTGTCCTGTCAGCGGACACTCTTGTAAAAAGTCCCTCCCCAGCCTTCCTGTAAGTTCCCTTCAGGTATTGGAAGGCAGCTATTAGGTCCTCCCGAAGTCTTCTCTTTTCAAGGCTGAACAATCCCAGCTCCCGCAACCTGTCCTCATAGCAGAGGTGCTCCAGCCCCTGGATCATCTTTGTGGCCCTCCTCTGAACACGCTCCAGCAAATCTATGTCTCTCTTATGGTGGGGACACCAGAACTGGATGCAGTATTCGAGGTGGTGGGGTCTCACAAGAGCAGAGTAGAGGAGGAGAATCACCTCTCTTGACCTGCTGACCACGCTTCGGTGGCTGACTAGAGATTGTGGTCAAGGCAGCTTTTTACTCAACACTTAAGAGTTTTGTATAACTTCCTAGACACCTGGATAATAAATTTGGCTGCATAATTTGCTTCCAGGTTAGCATAGGATTTTAAGCAAATGAAAAGAAGAAAATGAGTTTGCAGTATGAAGTGTGGTTAGACTGGCTTCTAAAGCAGATGTGTGCAATGTCTGATGCCAGAGTTTCGCAGGCATAAGAGATTAAGTTTTTGTTGAAGTCTTTTTCAATCTTTCAGATTTTGAAAGTAATTTCCTATTTTATCATAATACTCAGAAAAAAAATTGAGCACATCAAGTAAATCTTTCTCCCTTTCCTCCTAACTTTTTATGTTTACACGTTTCCAGTTACAATTTCAAAAAAGTGAAAAGAGAGGATGACATGTGCTACTTGTTTCACAGTGCAGTAGCCTCAGCTATTTAAAATTTTCCGTAACGTATACTTGACTCTCACTTCATTGATGAGTTTCCGGAAATATCTAGAAGTGCTTATGACTAAAAATTCTTCATGAGTTTGTGCTGTACAGAGAGAAGGAGCAGTCTCATATGCAGTTAATTATAACTGCTTAAAAAAAAAAATTTAAGATGTTTAGACATCCATTACAATAGCAACCAAATTAGGATTGTAGGAGAGTTTTATTATTTTAAAATTGTAAACAATGGTTTGAATTTATTTTTATTTTTAAGCTTGAATGAGAATTTGCATGCTGATGCTGGTGGCTCTAGAGCTTGCTCACATTTATAAAGTTTGCCAGAGCCCTTGTTGATAGCTGTTGTACAGTCTGCTATTAAATTTAGAGTTTGATTAAAATTTAAATGGAAGAGAGTTAGGAAGTTGCCTAAGCTATCTTGTCTTATCCTTGTCAAACTCTTTAGGTGTAGGTCTTAGTTTGAGGTTAGAAGGTTACTTACTAACTTCAGCATTCACTGGATAGAGGGAGAGAAATACAAGGTGCTAGGGTTATTTTGCTGTTACAAAACATCTCTCTTGGGTTTTTTTCCCCCTAAAATTTCTGTCATTTTAACTTCATGCCTGTTTTTTCCTTCTGAACTAATTTGGACAAAGTTGGCTTCCTCTTGCCAAACCAGCTGACCTCATACTCATTTTGCAGGATTCTTTATTTTTCAGCTTTTACTTCAATTTTGTGATTTAAGAATTTCTGTAGGTTCTCTTTTTTTTTGAAAGGGAATTAACACCAACATGCTTCTCTCTTCAGACATTTTATTCTCAGAGTGCGAATATAAAAAGAGTGATGGTAGAGTGATATAGCTTAAAGTGATAGAAGTTCTATATGGTTGCAAAATTTAGATGGAATCTTTCGCTTGGGTAGCACAGTGAAATGGGATCACCTCTGGAAAGGTTGTACAAGGCTAGCAGGAATAGAGAGAAGCAGTATGACTAAAGACACAAGCATTGACCCTGATAAATGCAGGAGCAGATCACTTGAGTAAGGAATTCTTCTCTTACGAATTTTACCAGCTGCTTTCTAATAACAGAAGTAGTGCCTTTTTCTTATTTTTAGCTATTTTTATTAAGACTTTGATTTCTTAGCTTATGTATGATGAGCTATTGCTTGTGGTGGTAGCAGCTATCAGGTTATGGAAACTCAGAAGATCTCCAGTCTATATGCTATCCTGCCTTTTTCCCTAATCTTAACCACAAAGCAAAGCGCTTGCAGTGAGCTTGTTGGGTGCTACTGTGTGTGAAAGGGGTAATAGGCTGTGCTCACACATTTAAGGACATGTTTTTAGTTGTATTGTGGCATTGTTCTTTCTAATGCCAAATATAAAATAGCTATAATAGAATTTAATTGGTAATGCTTCCTGACAATAATTTGTATCTCTCCAGGTTTAGCATCAGTATGAAAGACTTAATAACCTTTGACAAATCTGAATTCTACAGGTTTTTTTTGAATGATGAAAGGAGAGGGGAAAGGGTGCCGCCTTTTGCAGCCTCTGGGTCGTCTTGAAGGCCTTGCATAAATTAAATTGGTGGATGCTTGTATGCTTACACCTGATGGACAAGAGCTACCCTTTTCTGGTCCTAATCTGATCAATTTAAATCTTTCCAATTAAAAAGCTAAATGGTGGTGGTTAAACATCATACCTTGCAGCTACAGTGCTGAAATTCCTAGGTGTATAGGTCACACCACTTCTTCCATGCATAGGGGAACGTCTGCAACGCCCTTATTGTATAGCTGAATGTACCATGCAGCTGTTCCCTTAAGCACTGCATTTAAAGCATTTGCACCTACTAGGTGTGGTGCTTTGTGTAAAATAGGCACATGCATCCTGCCTGCAGACGGCTCCTCCCAGAGGACTCAGAAACAGGAACAGGAAAGCAAGTAGTAAGAGACAGGCTGCTCCTTACAGAGTACATGCTGTTGACTGATGTTTAGGGCCTCAGACTTGGGCTGAGCAAGCTGTAACTTAGATGAATGCACGTGGTAAGGCTGCTTTCAGCTGCCATCTTTCTGGGACAGCCATCAGCCTTCTTCCTTTTCCTAATCAGAGATGTGCCCAAAACATGGTGAGAAGGGTGTGCTTGGCTGAGGGAAGGAAAATGGCCTAAAGCACTCTGCTGTCACTAAAGTTTGTTCCCAGGAATGTCTCAAGGAAGAGGACCCTGAAGAGTGAGCTGTGTCTTGCTACTGGGCTGTGAAAGCCAAAGTCCCTCATATTTAAATGAATTAGACTGGATTTTTAGTCTTTATTAAAGTAACAGAGCGTTTGCCAAAACTCCCACTGGTCTCTGCAGATCTAGTTCGCTAATCTAGAAATATGGAACTTGGTTTTTAATGTATTTGGGGCCAGTTCACTTTGTCTTATGAGGAAAAAACATTATTGAGTTCTGGATCAGTTAAGATATAATCCTCACTCCAGTGAGGAAGTGGAAGCCAGAATTTAAGATTTTCATCAGTGGGTTTTAGTTTGTTACAGTCTCTTCTGGGGAAAATGCACTGGGGAAATATGGAAATACACTGGAAAATGCTTCTGGGGAAAACTTTCAAATAAGTTTTTTCTAAGGATGAAGTAATCCACCTAATGCTGTAAATATTTGGGATAGACTTTACATAGAACTGAAGTTGGTATGTGAGGGAGTTTGTGTGTACTTTCTGTATTCGTCTTAATAATAAAGGATACAAAGTGTAGCTTCAGGTAGGACGTGTGCCAGAAGCTTTTTGGCTGATGAATTTGATATGCAGAATAGGTTAAACAGCCCTGAAGTTCTCCATAATCGAGGGATAAACAGGAAGCTGTCTGTGTAACTTGCATGCCAGAACACTAGCACAGCAAAGGGGCTACTGTATCAGCTGCTTTTCTCATTGTCAAAAATGTCTGCTAATGTTGGAAATCCTTGCTTCTCTACAGCTTTGTAGCTCTCTTTTATACTGTCATCAGTATCCAAGAAAATGTGACACTACTTGAGATATAGGAAGGATAAGGGAATTGAGGCTTTTGGGGGACACGATGTGGAAGTATTAACTTGCTGGGATTGTTGAATAGCACAATATATAACTATAGTATAAAATTGCTAGAGCTATCTGTTCCTTCTCCAGCCTACCTTTTTATTGCCATTGCTGCACATGCTGTAAGCTGTGAAATGAAATTCCTCCTTTCCTTCAGTGTGGATTAATCCTTCATAATACTGTGGCCGTTGTGGGAGTTTTTCAGCCCTTTCGTTCCACCTGTGGTGCTAGCAGAAATGACTAGATCAGGTAAACTTTAGCTGTTTTGTCACGATATGTGGTAGTGGGGTTTTGATTAGGGGTTGAATGGGTAGAAAGAAGGGGAAGAAGCGTTGATACTTTTAGATGTTTGCTGTGGATTGACAAAGTAGTAACTTCCAGTGGGTTAAGCAGGGCTGCAGCACACCTCAAATATGGGAGAGGTGAGATGGTTATGTGTAGTTGATAATTTGCTGCTAGTATAAACCCTTCATGTAAAACTCATTTACCTCAACTACTG